CGGGCCGCCCTTGGGACCCAAACGGGCAGCCCCCGGCGCATCCCGAAGGGCATCGCCCGTGCCAGGACATCAGTCACTTCAGTTTTCCGAATTTCGGAAAAAAGCTGAAAAGCAATATTAGAGAGGCTTTCAGTTTACACTTTCGGTCAGGGAGTGTTTTGCATCCCAGTAGCAGCCCCTTCTGCTTTTACAGGACCGCCGGACTTTCCCGGTGGCATCAGGCGTATTTTGGTCTCCGGGTCCATTGCAACAGCCCTGTCAAACCCGGGTCCTACCCTGTATTTCAGCAGGCGGAGACCTACTGCCGGGGCATCCTGTGGGGCGAGCGGAGGACTTGGGCTTTTCTCTTCCGGAAGGTCCCAACGAGGGAATTTTGCATTTTTTTGTCGTTTCTACTTCAAACGAAAACACGCAAATATTAAAAAAAAAAGCCTCGAGGCCTTACACAGTCGGAGGAGAAGGGGGTATAAGATGCTACGAGTCGTGAAGGTGGGTTATAAACCTGCTCGGGCTGCCTGCAGGACGGGTAGTAACGGCTTCCTCTTGCAGCCGTCGGGGCTGCGTGTGCAACTGGTTAACTCGACCGGGTTTGTTTTGACTGCTCAGCGAAGCAGGGAATAATAAAAATGCAACTTTTCCGCAGAGACCAGGGGAAAAGAATGAGTTGGGTGTAGCCAAGGGCAGCGTTCGCCTCGTCGTTTTCGCTGAAAGAACTCCCTCTAGGCCTTGTGGAAACCCAGCTTTTTTTTTTTTTTTTTTTCCCCTCCCTACTTCCTCAAACTTTCAAAAATACTCTGCTGTGAAGTATTTTACCCGGTCACATGTTTTAGCTAGAAGAGAAAAGGTTAAATTCTCCTTTCATACTACAATGTAATTCATTTCCTGTTTTGCCCAACCGTCTAGACACAGAACTAACGAGCATTAACCCTGAGTCCCACCATTGGGTTAAAAATAGAGGGTTTAAATATAAAAGTGTGCGGCAGAAGGAAGATTGTAGGTTTCTACCTAGCGCCGTGAGCCAGTTGTTTTAGATGAGAACCATTTAATTGGCTATAAGCAAGAAAAGGAACCAAATAAAACTGCCTTTCGGGTCAGAGGTTTAAAAAGAGCCATGTTTGCTCTCTGCGAAAGCAACAGCACGATTTCCGATGAGCCATGGCACCGTTTGATCCCCTTTCAGAGTTTATATTTGTCTGGATTTACACCTCCAGATATATATCCCCCCCCCCAAAAAAAAAAAAAAAAAAAAAATATTCCACTTGGGTGAGAGCGCTATAAAAAGACTGGCAGAAAGTCATTTAAGAGACAACCTACGTTGCAAAACGCACTCAGGCTCTGATGAGCGACCAACCGACCCCTGGTCGCCCGCGGGAGCCCAGCCACGAACTGGGTCCCAGCTTACCGAGGTATCTAACCCTCCCTGCGCTCATCAAGAGCCCCGCTAGGCTTCTCATCAAGTTAAGGTAAATCCTGGATTGGCTGAACTGGAAGACGTTGGCCCTAGGTTAAGTTGGGAAGTCGCCCCTTGGCTCCGTAGGCGCCTCGGACGTATTTCGAGCAGGCTGGGCTGCAGTAGCAGGCCAGAGAGAGGGATGCTTCTGGCCCACAGCATGCTCTAAATCCCTCTCCAAAGCATGTGCTTTGCTTGTGGAGACAAGGCAAAGAGAAAACAAAACTGCGGCGGCTCCGCGACCGGGCCCCTCGCTGCGGCAGCGAGTACGGAGGCGTCAAAGGCGGTCGCTCACCCTCTGCTCGAACAGGATGCGCCCTCGCAGCTCACCAGCGACCGACCGCCCAGACTCGCAGCGTTTTTGGATGTGCTTTATGAATGAGCTCATTCTTACCGACATATTTTTAACTCAAGAGCTCTTTCAAAAATCATCAAAATCCATGGTGGGCTTGAACAAGGAGGAAATCAAATTTCCTGAACTGAGTCGAGTTTCTCCATCTGTAAATGCAAAATCCAGAGGGCAGTCTGTTTATTCAATCTGTGACACCGGGTATCTTTCCTCTTTAGCCATCCATTTTTAACAGCTGCATTTCACAATTGCTGCAACAAACAACCGAGAGACCGCAGCGACGAAACGGTTTTGTTGGGACATCTGATGAAGGCATCAGCAGCACTCAGCATCTCTGGCTGTGCAGGACACTTTGTCTCAGCTGCAAAAATCCTGTTTGCTCCCTCCTCTGCTATGAGTTCAAGGCCTGTTCTGACCAGGACTAAAATGATCCAAGTAAAACATATTAAAAAGACATTAGCTTATTTTCTATTAAAAAGCACAATATAGTACACATCAAGAATTCTGATGGGTAAACTGGTGTATTTCCAGCTTAGGAAAGGCCTTTGAACCTATGGGAGTTATTTATAGCGCCTTTTTGAGAACAGAGCTCTCTCCCATTTCTGCATTTTTATGAAAGTAGCAGTTTTGGTCTCATCAAAAATAAAACCACCTCCCGAATCGCTCAGTGAAGCTCATCCCACACCCCTTTAAAGCAGAGAAACAAAAGGTGAGGATTAAGAAAAGTTTCAGTAAATTTGACTAATCATTAAATTATACGGGCAAGTAATTTTCAAAATGCTTTTGCCCCAAATTGTACTTTATTGAGCTCTACAAAAGATGCTGAAGGTTTCAAGGAATTCCTATCTGATTATTGGCTTTGCTAGACTTAATCTGCCCGATCAAGGCCCAACAGAGCGCTTCACACCATCTAGCAAGCCATTCCCGGCCCCAGGATCGCTTAAGGGATGAAGCATTACACTGACAATACTATGGAGAAGGAGCAATTACACCTTTGTTATGTGAAAGGATTATGGACAGGTCTCACTAGCTCACACACAACACATCCCTAAAAAGATCAGGCATTTCCCTTAAAGGTTTAGAGTCAAAGTACTATTTTTTTAACCTATCTTAATGAAGTTTGAGTAAGAAAGGATATCTGAACTTTCTCATTCCCTTGTTTAAAAGCTGGTCATCTTGTAGACTGTCCCCTGTTTCCAAAGAGTTGTGTTCAGAGGTTTAACCTCTGGTTATTATACACTTGAGAGACAGCATAATCAAATAATTATGAAACTGCTCAAATATACCTTATTTGACACTCAGCGCAAATGAAGAAAAAAGCTTCTGCATTTTGTCCTTATTTTTGTTGCCAGATTCCCTAAGACAAGTCATCCAAGTTTTACACAGATAACTTCCCGTTCCAGCCTGTGAAGCATCTCAATTACCGTTCTCCCCAGTTTGCCCCAAGTTTCTTCTATGGGCTCCTTGTTCACATTCCTTCTGAGCAGGAGCCTGGGTTTGAATGCTGCAGTCCTGACCTTGCCCCTTGGGCACCTTGACCAAAAAACCCACACCACACACAAACCACTGTGTAATCCACAAGTTGGAGTTGAAGCTACAGAATCAGTGCAAGCACTAGTGATTTCGTTCAAGGCAGCAGTGACTCCTGGATAGTGGCAGGGTGCAAATTCAGGGCACGAGCTCCACTTGAGCACTGGTTTTTACTGAAAGTGTGTGCTCCATTGACCTTGTTTTCCTTTGAATTATGATCAAGTGACAGCTCTGTCTATTCTAGATACTCCCAATGTACCTACTGCCACAGCCACCCCAGTTCTGGAAGTTCCTGCAGAAGAGATTTTGCTTACAGCCGCAAGAAGCTCAAGGCTGATAAGGTCACCAACTTGGAAGCAGTGAGACAACCAACTCTGTGGTTCACATTGTTTGAACATTTATTTCAATTCAGTGTCAAAAATGTCTTACAAAAATACATTACTGTCTGCACAGAACAGCTGTAAAAAGAGTTGAACATGCAAGGGAAGAGAAAAAAGTGTGCAAATTCATATGGAAGGATTTTAACCACACAATAATATTAAATAGAAGTCTTACTATACAAGGGATGCCTTTCACTTCATACTATCTCTAGTTATAACTTTAAGGAAAAAAACAAAACACAAGCTCTCTTCCATATATAAGTAGGTATTTCTAATTATTGTAGATCCTAAAAATTAGCATATTTGCTATTCAAATTAAAGCGTTCTCTGAATAGTTGACCTGTTAGCTTTCTGTAAAGCATATAATAGCTGCAGAAATGCAAGTTCCACCCTCAGCTGCCTTCCCAGCAGGGAAAAAGCAGCACTTGGTCAACCAAGGGGGAATTTCTCTGGTGCACAAGGGATTAATACAGTAGAGACTGCATATGTCAAGGATAAGATACATTTATTCTCCCTGGGGCCAGATCCTGCAAAGCCTATTCACTACTAATGAAGGCACTGGAGGAAGATGATGTGGGATACAAATCAGAAAGATTCTCGTGCGCCCTGACAGCCACGTATGGACAGCGGTGTGGATGACCCAGTCGCATCTTCAGAGCGCTTAACAAGCGGCATTATAAGCAATGAGCCGAGTGAAACAGGACAAGCACAACACCGCAGTCTCAAACCTGGTAACAGAGTCTTTAAAACTGATCAGCCATCAGCTCCACAGGGAGCTCCC